AGGTTGGACTTATTGAAAAGAGCCAATAATTTTCCTTGTCCTGTTTGCAGGAGGAACTATGGAATCTGAAAAGAATACAATTAAGCATGTGAAGACCGGTAAAGGATCCAGATTATACAGGGTGGCCATTGCAAAAAGGTATCGTGAACAAGGAAGTGAGTGCATTTATAGGTATTTTAGCAGCAAAGCTAGAGCCCACTATTGGTGTTTATTGTATACTCTTTCACATATATTTCCACTTTCTTCTAGTGAATGAGTCATTTCCTCCTATGTATGTGTAGGCAAATGTGTCTTGCATGCCAAATTTTAGAATAATATTGAAGAAGACATTTTTGATGTTTGTTATTACTTTTTCAACTTGGATTAAGCATTACTTTTATTATGGCTGGATATATTTCTGATCCAAGTGCAAAGTCTCCACAGAAATTTCATTTACCTGTAAGTGTACTCATTAAATAAATTAATACTATTCTGCAAAGGAGTTTTTCACTGGGGTCAAAATTATTGATTTATATTCCCATTTTGTCTGTGGGTGTGTTGGTTTCTGAAAGGTTTCCTAACATCCCACTTTGTATTGGGTGAAAGAAACTCTTGCAGAAATCTCTGTAAATTTTGAACAATGATCACGAAATGAGTCATTAGAAATGATTAAGAAACACCCTGTGTTCCTTTGTATACCTACATTAAAGACAAACTGGCAACTCAATGTTTTTCTTTGCATTGCTCAATAAAGAAGGAAAATTGGAGATCAATTTAGGGTTATTTATGACACCGTGAAGGTGACTTGTGGCACAGTGGTACTGTTCCTACCTATGGGTCAGGAGCTCTGGGTTCAAGTTCCACCTTCCATTGAAGTGTGTCGTGGCAAGTTTGAAAGGTTGATTAACCTCAACTCAACTTAGTTACAATTCATCAAAGAAAGCCCCAGCAAATGTGCAGCTTTAAGACTCCAAATATTTAACTGCCATCAGTAAAAACCTGGAGAGGGTACTAATGCATTTGTGACCCAAGAATGTAAAGTTACAAATTTTTCATTCTCTTGAGTCTTTCATATCCAAGGTACTTCACTACTAATAAGTAGGTTGGATGTGTCATCACTGTTGTCCTGTAGGCAAACAACTATTGCCATAGCAGACAAACAGCAATGGGACAAATCAGATCATTCTTTTTAGTGATGTTAGTTGAGGGATAAATGTTGGTCAGGACAGTAGATAGAACTCTTTTCCTCTTATTCAACATCGTGTCATGGGATCTTTTGCATCAACCAGACAGGGCATTTCAGGGCCACTGTCTAATATCTCTTCAGGAGGTGACACATTCTATGATATAGAACTCCCTCCGTATTGCACTAGATTTTTAACCTAGACTAAGTGTTAAACCTAACACTGTATTTTCTGAAATATGTTCATCCAGTGTTTGAGATTTAAATGAAACCTCTCTAATTAGAAATGAATCTGTGCCACATTTCTGGAAGCCATATTTAGTTGTCTAGAAATTGTTGTTTCCCAACAAATAGGTTATAGACAAAAGAGCTGAAATCCAGAGTTGAGTTGAGAGTGACTGATCTTAACATCAAGACCGCATTTGACCAAATGTAGCAACAAAGAGAAAACTTGACTTAATGGGAATCAGGTGGAAAAATGCCTCACTGGTTGTTGTTATACCTACACAAAGGAAGATGGGTGTGGATCTTAGAGGTCAGTAATCTCAGCTCCAAGACATCTCTGCAGGAGTTCTTCAGGGCAGTGTCATAGGCTTAACCATTTTCAGCTACTCTATCAATCACCTTGCCTCCATCATAGGGTCAGAAATGGGAATGTTTGCTGATGATTACATAATGATCAGTATCATTCACAACTCTTGAGATACCAGAGCAGTCCATGTCCAAATGCGGCAAAACCTGGACAATATCCAGGTTTGGGCTGACATATGGCAAGTGACATTTTGCACAACACAGTGCCCAGACAATGATCATCCCCAATAAGAAAGAAGGTAATTATCGCTCCTTGACATTCAATGGCATTCCCTTGACAGTCACCATCCTGGAGGTTGCTATTCACCAAATTTTGAACTGGATTAACCATATAAAATGGAGTGGCTACAAGAGCAGGTCATAAGCTACGTGTCCTGCAGCGAATAGCTCACCTCCTGACCACTCCCCACCCCCCAAAGCCTGTGCATTATCTACAAGGCACATCTGCCTGGATGAGTGCAGCTGAAACAGCACACAAAAATCTTGGCACCATGTAGGAGTAAACAGCCTGCTTGATACATCACATCCACAAACATCCATCACCGGCGCTCAGTAGCAGCAGTGTGTGCCATCTACAAGATGCACTGCAGAAATTCATCAAAGCTTCTTAGACAGCATCTTCTAAACCCCAAATTGCTGCCATTTGGAAGGACAAAGGCAGCAGATACATGGGAATGCCACCATCTGTAAGTTCCTCTCCAAGCCACTCGTCATACTGACTTGGGAATATGTCAACATGGCTGCAGTGTCACTGGGTCAAAATCTTGTAACTTCCTTTCCATCAGCATTGTATATCTACCTATGTCAAATGGACAACCACAGTTCAAAAAGGCAGCTCATTACCGCCTTCTGCAGGACAGCTGGAGATGGCAATAAAGATGGTCCAGTCAGCAATGTCCACTTCCCATGAATGAATAAAGCAAAAAAACTTTGTTACTTTACTGAATTTGTGAAGAAGTCTCTTAGTTCATCAAGTTGTGCTCAACTTTCTTGTGAAGATATTACTCAAGGAAGAAAAGACAAACAGACCTGTATTAATCTTGCTCTTTATCATGACCTCAGACTATCTCGGAGCATTTAAAGTCAATAGATTTGAACTGAATTCACCAATTTGCAACCACATTGTAAACTCCGTGCATCTTGAATGAATTGCTAGATAGAAAAGTAGAGATGAGGCTACAATCAGATCTGCCATTTAGAGTCGTAGGGTTTTTACATCACAGAAGGAAGCGCTTCAGCTCATCGTGCTCACATGGGTTACTAAACATCCATCTTTTCTAGTCCCATTTTCTACTACTTGGCTTAACTATTGAGGAGCCATTATCTTCTGCTTTTCCTCATTCATAAGTTAATGTAAATGAACAACTGCATACTATATTTTAGGTGGCTTTTGCTGAGAGGAGATTGTAGTCCAGGATTCCATAAGAGCTCCTTGTTAATCTTCAATAGTGCTATTTTTGCATTCTTATTCCTGGTAGTACTCTCAGTTTTGCACTGAAATAAATGGGCAGGCGTTGCACCTTCTGTGGTTCCATGGGAAGGTGCCGTGGGGCTGTGGGGGCTATTGAGAGTGAAGGAGGAGTGGACCAGGGTGTCCTGGAGGGAACAGTCCTTACAGAAAACTGACAGGGGTGGGGAAGGAGGTATGTGTCTGGAGGTGGCAGCTAATGATCCTTTGGATGTGGATGCTGGTGGGACTGTTTTGCTGTTGTAGGATGGAAGAGATAGGGTGAGGGTAGAAGTGCAGGAGACTGGTCAGGCCTGGCTGAGGGCCCTGTCAGCTATGGTACTGGAGAAGAACATGGTCATTTCGGAGGCCCCCTTGTTGAAGTTGGCATCATCAGAACAGATGTGATGGAGACACAGGAACTGGGAAAATGAAATAAGTCTTTATAGGAAGCAAGGTATGAGAATGTATAGTCAAGGTAACAGTGGAAGTCAGTTTTGTGATGGATATTAGTGTAGGGGATATTAGTATCCCAGAAATGGAAACCGAGATGTTGAGGAAGGGAAGGGAGGAGTCAGAAGAACCAGGTGAAGGTGAGTGTTGGGTGGAAATTGGAAATTAAGTTGATAAACATTTCCAATTCCAGACAAGAGAGGGAAGGAGCAGTGATTATGTCATCGATATAGCGGAGAAAGAGTTGTGGGTGGGCCTGGAATAGAACTGGAACAAGGAATATTCCATGTACTCCACACAGAGGCAGGTATAACTGGGGCCCATGTGGGTGCTAATGGTCATCCCTCTGACCTGAAGAAAGTGAGACAGTTAGAAGAGAAGTCCACTGAGGTGTCTAGACCCGAAATGTCAGCTTTCCTGCTCCTCTGATGCTGCTTGGCCTGCTGTGTTTATCCAGCTCTACACCGTGTTATCTCAGTTAAAAGAGAAGTTGTTCGGGGTGAGGACGAGCTCAGCCAGGCAGAGTGGTGGTGGATGTGGATGGTTCAGGCCTTTTTTCCACAAAGAATTGGAGACCCCTGAGACCATCTGTGCCACTGGGGATGGATGTGTAAAGGGATTGCACGTCTATGATAAAGAGGAGGCAGCTGGAGCCTACAAATTGGAAATTCTGAAACTGATGTAAAGCATCAGAGGAATCATGGATGTAAGTGGCTTTAAAGTAATTTGGCAGGGGTGTGGGAACCAAAAAAGGATCATAGAGGAGAACACCAGGGTTCACAAAATACTTGGGGATAAAGCTGGCTCTAGCTTAGAGAAGAACATGTTAATAGATGAAGTCAGAGTAAGGGAGAATGAAATGAATTCCAAAACAGAGTTAACATGCATATATGTAAATGCACAGAGGTTGGGGAGGTACAGATGTGAATTGCCATGTAGAAATGTGATGTGTGGTAATAACAGAGACCTGGTTCAGTGAAGGGCAAGACTGGGTGTTAAATATTCTGGATATAAATTGTTCAAGAAAGACAGAAAAGGAGGAGGGACAGCAGTACACATTAAGGAGGACATTGCAGTGTTTGAGAGAGAGGATGTCTCATAATTCAAGGACAAAGTCAATTTGCCAAAACTAAGGAATTAAAAAGGGTACAGTCAGTGTAGTGTATAGACTAATAACTGGTAGAACAAATGTGCAGGCAAATTACAGAGGAAAGCCAACATTAGAGTGTAGTTATAGTGGGGATTTTAGTTAGTCAAATGCAGACTGGGATACTGTAGCAGAAAAGAGCAAGCGTTCCTAGATTAAGTTCAGAAGTGTTTCTTTCAGCAATATCTGTGCAATCCAATAAGAAAGTATGCATCATTGGCCTTGGTCCTTGGAAATGAGGTGGCACAAAGTGGATCAATTGCCAGTAGGGGAACATTTAGAAGACAATGATCACTGTATCATAATGTTCAGGATGGTGGTGGAGAATGATATGCAACAGTCCAGAGTAAGAAAAATCAATTGGTGAAAAGTTGACTTCAATGAGGCAAGAACTGAGCTGGGCATGATTGACTGGATCAAGAGGTTTGGGTGAAAACCAATAACAGAATAATGGGCTAACTTTCAAAGAACAGATAGTTCAGGTACAGTCAAGATATATTCCCACAATTGGGAAAGGTAGGAAAAACAAATTCAGATTTCCCTGGCTGACAAAGAAGGTAGAAATTAACATTGGAATGAAAAAGTGTTCTTATGACAGGTGTAAGTCAGAAAATGAAATTGAGAACCAATTGAGAGGAATACTGAAGGCTTAGAGGGGAGTTGAAAAAGCAAATAACAAAAGCAAACAGGAATAAGAAATGACCAGCAGCTAACATAAAGGGAAATCCTAAAGTCTTCTATAGGCATATAAATAGTAAAACACAGTGATCAGAGGAGGAGTAGGGCTGATTAGAGACCTAAAAGAGATTTGCACATGGAATAGGGGTGCATACCTGAGGTATTGAATGAATACTTTGCATTTGTCTTTACAAAAGAGGATGCTGCCTGGTCCATGGTGATAGAGGAGGAGACTGTCACTAGAAGGATTCAAAATTTAAAAGGAAAATGTCTTGGATAGATTGCAGGTATTTAAAGTTGATAGGGCACATGATCAGGTCAGATGCATCCAAGGATTTTGAAGAAAGTGAGCACAGAAATTGCAGAATCTCTAGCTGACATCTTAATCAACTTGCTGGAGTTTTCAGAAAACATGACAGAAAGGCTCAATGAGGGTAATGTTATTGACATGATATATGTGAATTTCCAGAAAGAGTTTGATACAGTGCCAGACTTGTGAAGAAAGTTGTAGGTCAGTTATAAACGGGACAGTAACTATGCAGATAAAAAATTGGCTCAGTGATATAAAAAAGAGCCAATGGATCTTTTTTGGGTTGAATCAAGGTTTATAGTGGAGTTTCCAGGGGTTGGTTGGGACTCATGCTTTTCCTGATATACATTTAATGTTCTGAATCTTGCTGTTCAGGGGACAATTTCAAATTTTGCAGATGACGTGAAACTTGAAAGAAGTGTAAACTCTGAGGAGGACAGTGTTGTACTCCAAAAGGACAATGACGAGATGGTGGAGTAGCTGGACTGATGGTTGGTGAGGCTCAATGCAGAGAAATGTGAGGGATACATTTTGCTAGGAAGAATGTTGAATGACAATATCAAAAAGGGGATATAATTCAAAAAGGGGTGCAGGAGCACAGGGACCTGGATGTATATGTGCACAGATCATTGAAGGTGGCAGGACAGGTGATGAAAGCAGTTAATGAAACAAACATTATCCTCAGCTTTATTAACAGAGGCATAGAATATAAGAGCAAGGAGATGATGTTTAACTTGTATAAGACACTTGTTAGGCCTCAGCTGGTGTATGGTGGGCAGTTGCAGATGTCACATTACAGGAAATATGTGAATGCATCGGTGAGAAATTCCTTTTCTTTATTCATTCATGGGATGAGGGCATCACTGGCCAGGCAGCGTTTATTGCCCATCCCTAATTGCCCAGAGGGTAGTTAAGAGTCAACCACATTGCTGTGGGTCTGGAGTCACATGTAGGCCAGACCAAGTAAGGATGGCAGTTTCCTTCCCTAAAGGATATTAGTGAATCAGATTGATTTTTCTGACAAGCGACAATGGATTCATGGTCATTATTAGATTCTTAATTCCAGATAATTTACTGAATTCAAATTCCACCGTCTGCTATGGCAGGATTCGAACGCAGGTCCCCAGAATGTTCAATTGAGGCATTCAAGAGAGCATTGGATGATTTATTTGGATAAAAATACTGAGCAAGGGAATAAGGAAAAAGCAAGAAAAAAAGCCATGGGGTAATGGAGTGCAGGCACGCTGGGCCAAGTGGCATCATTCTATGCTGTGACAATTCTGTGTTTCTGCGATTTAGTCCATCAATACAGAGAGAGAGCACTGCCAGGAATAAGAATGCAAAAACGTGATGTAAAGGGTTGCTGAGAATTTGGGACCTTTGTCATTTAAAATGTGCAGAACCTCATTAGATGCTATTTTTATGTAAATGACAGTTTGTAGGAATTTGTTTTTGGCATGTTGTTGATAATACGTTCTGCGTGGGTAAATAAATAAAAGGGTAATTAATTTGCAGACATTTATTAAAGTGTTAAGAATCTGCAGCCACTTATTGCTTCAATTTTGTTTGTCACCTCCAGGGTACAAATCTTCTTTGTTTTTGGAAATGCTGTGGTCTAGTGAGAAGTTGTGCAGGATCTGAAGGATGACTGGCTTCATCATTGGACCAGGAAGTCAGGCTTAATATTATGACATCCTTCCCATCACAAAAACTCAAGAAGAGATGGAACCCAGGGATCTCGTGTTCATTTAAGGGACCTACTTCAATCCCAAAAGTATTGTCAGTTCTGTGATCTATCATTATAGTATGCACCATATTAGTTTCTTTGGTTGTATCTAAAAGTTTTTTGCATTTTTTAATTTACAAACAATTTAATTATCATAGCAATTTTAAAATTAGTTTTTGATCAGCTTCTATTCCCACAAACTATCATGGCTTTTGTTACCCACTACCTCACTACTAAGAGATGTGTGTAAGGAACTCCACAGATAACTCACCTACACATCCTTCCATCCTTCTTATGGTGAAAAACCCTGTTTTAATGTTGCCCTTAATTCTCAGTAACTTGTTCATGAACAGGAAAGGTATGAAGCATGGCTGGGGTGTCTGGTACTGCTTTAGTACATATATAGTCCATCTTTTAACTTTTGGCTTAGAGCATTTCCAGCAAGGTTTCTTCTTTTGCCCTGCCACAAATGCTTTAGAGTCTTCCTTAGGATTTCTGTTTGTCTCCCGACCTCAGCTGCCTGCTCCCCCTCATTGACGTCATTTGAAGAAGTGGTACAAACTTCCACATATATTCTGGTGGCACCCAACTCTACCTCTCCACCATCTCCTTGATCCTCCCACTGTTGTCAGATCACTTATCTTGGATGAACCTCAATATTCTGCTGTTTCAACATTAAGGAGAGCAAAGCCACCCTGCTCAGCTACCCAGAATATCAGTTCCCTCATCATCCCACTCATAGACCATTCTTGGGTTGAACCAAGCTGCGCACAACCTTGGCATCTAATATGAATTTTCAACACTTTAGGTAATAAATCACGCACAAAAACACAGTTGTATCTACTTCTGTGACTGTCAAATTTAATTCTAGATCGAGGCACTTGCTGCAGAGACATGCATCCACCACTCTGTGACATCCAGATTTGACTATTTCAATGAGCTGCTCGTCAGTTTCCAGTTCTGTTTCCTCCATAAGCTTCAGATGGTCTAACCTCCTGGTGACACCGCATTCTCAAACATCCATCCACTCCACCACTGACACTCAGTGACAACAGTGTGTACAGTCTACAAGATGCACTGCAGAAATTGACCAAAGATCCTTAGACAGCAAATTCCAAACCAATGACCACTTCCACCTAGAAGGATAAGGGCAGCAGATACTTGGGAACAACATCCTCCAAGCAACTCACTATCCTGATCTGGAAATATATTGCTGTTCCTTCATTGTCGCTGGGTCAAAATCATGGAATTCCCTCCCTAATGGCAATATGGGTCTATGTGCAACACATGAACTGCAGCTGTTAAAGAAGGCAGCTCACCACTGCCTTCTCAAGGACAACTAGGGATGGCCAAGAAATGCTGGCCAGTCCACGATACCCATGTCCTATGATTGATTTTTAAAAATTGCTAGTTACCTGTACCTTGAAGAGTTACCCTCATGAATGAAGTTGAAATTGCTTTTTTAATTCAACAATGATTAGGTTAGATTGTTGAACCGATGCCAGGAAAGACAGAGCTTTTCTGTTTTTAAACTTATCACTATCGGGGAAACCATATGGTGTAGAGGGAAACCTTCTCAGTAATCTCCTACTTACAATAATCCTGTCAGAGTCCCTGCCACATTATCTGTTTACACTGAGACACCAATATCCTGTATCAAGAGCTAGACATCCCTGTAAATTTCCTTTGTTGTGCGCAGCCTGTGTATTTTAATGCATGGTTCCTTTAAGTTGTTTTGCTAGATTTGGGGTGCGTGCAGCAGAACATGCAGACTGCTTCTGACAGGCTCTGTGACACCTTCGTCACTACTGCATGGCCACACATATGTTTGGCTCAGCAGGATTTTTGCTGGAGACCTCTTAGTGAGTCAGCAATTTGTTTTATTTCCTTTTCCTTTTAATTAAGGGAAAAATTTCGATACTGATATGAGATGAGGTAGAACTATTTAATTAAAATTTACCGTGAAAAGATTTTCTTTGGAAAATGACTATTGGAAGGGCAATATGCTGTATTGACAACTGTGTGATCTGCATTAAAGTAGACTGCAAAGATTCATTATTACAATTACCATGCTGTACTGGGTCATTATTTTCAAGGGATATATTGTGATAGGACCTTTCAATAATAAAAGAAGAGAAGAAACAACCAGGGATCTTTGTGATCATCTGTATATTGAAAAACTCCTATCAGTACAGTGTTACATTTTTTTATTACTTGTTTATTAATAAAACATCTCTACCCTAAGACTGGTTAAAAAGTAATACCCACTAGCACAAGCAGTATTTAAAGCCTTTACACAGAAGCTAGCTAAGCACATAAAGGAGAAAGGAGTAAAAGGTTGTGATGGAGTTGGACAAATTAAGGTGGGAGAAGACTTATGGAGCATAAATGCTGGAATGGATCACCTGAGCCGAATGGTATATTTCTGCGCTGTACATTCTATGTACTTCTATTAATAGTAGCTTTAAAACCCATAAAAAGAATCAGTGTTCATTAAATGTCTGAATTTCTTCATGCTCTGCAGCTCCTTTTGCACTCTCTTACCTGCTTTATTAAAATACTGAACTTTTATTTCCTTTTGCTTATAGCTATACACCATCACCGTGACATTGTCCATGCTGAGACATGGATTGGAGATGGAGAGAGGACTCTTGGCGCTTGCTAGGCAAGGAGCATGGTGCAGTGTTTCAACTCCTACAAGTTTGTTTTCCACCTCTTATGGGAACATAAAATACCATTTTAAATAGATCAACATGTGGCTATAGGGGATCTATATGAGGTAAGTGCATGGCTATAACTGATTTTCTGGAGTATCACATACACAGCATCCACAAGCATTGCCTTATCAAATCTGGTTCAAAATAAATAGAAATGCCCCCTAAATAATCAAGCAACCTTCCAGACTCTCTCTCTCTCATACAAATACACCTAGTATGAAGGGGGATGGGGCAGCAGTGACGTGATGAAGTGAGTGGTGGGGTTGGGTTTTCCCTACTGATTTCTGAATCCTGGTGTCAAACGGGAATCAGGAGTTTGGTCTGTTGGAAAACAGCCACTCATTGTGATTTTCACCAGAGCAACAATTAAGGGCCTGGAGCTAGTCTTGCTGTCTCACTAAGGATGGTTGATGGGCTTTTGAAAGTGGAGGGTCAGCCAGAGACCTTTCAGCTGGAAACCTACAGTAGAATGCCATGAGGGGTAAATGAAGGAAAGGGCGTCCGAAAATATACGTGGCCCCTCTCTCGTTTTTTTCAAACTCTGAAATTAAAATCACCTTTTCAGTCTGACAAATGAGGGTTTGCCTGTCTCAGTTCCCATCTCCATAGTGAGAAACCTACCCCATCTCTTTCTTAATATCATTGTGAAACTAGCCATGTAGTCCCATAATAATTCCCCTTTTATCTTCCTTTCCTCTTTTCTTATGAATATATTGATGAACATCGCTCATCACTTTAATTATGATATATCTGAAATGGGGATCTAAATAATGCTGGGAGAACTGAGTTTCCAGTTAATACAATGCTACTTTGGTGTCTCATTTTGTTCCACTGTGCCATGCTAAAACTTTAGCTATACGCACATTCGAAAAGACAGACAGCGAAAGACCAGCTGGACCCTGAAGCCTGGCCCAAACTGTTACAATGCAAGCAGTGATTGTGACACAGTGTTATCTGAGTGGACGTTCAGAACTTTACCATCTCTGCAACGTACATCGAACTCTATCACTCTGACCAGCAAATCCGAATTCTAGAAACACCAATATGGACTTATTTTTCACTCTTTTGAGTGAGTTGGGCTGACAATATGCTGCCAGAGAATGAGATTCCCTGAGAAACTGCATATGAAAATCTCATCTTTTTCAGAGAGAAAGGAGCAATGTAAAATTGACTCGGTCAATTTCAGACCAGTTCCCACAGCTTAACCCCATCCTGATATGGCAATTTCACTGAGGAAATCTGTAGGTTTGGGAAATAAATATCACATCGGTGCACAGATGATTGAAAAGAGTTGGAAATAAGGGTATGTTGTTGGAGAATGATATGGGAAAGATTAACAGTGTATCTGACCACTATTCTGTGTGATAAAGAAGTGTTTAATGCTAGTTGGGAACTCAAAAAAAAGGAAAATTTCTCCATCACCCATTAGACGTTGCTTCATCTCGATGAGCACAATATTCATAAAAGAAGAAATTAAAGACAGTTTGTGCAATGTGTTCTGATAATGTCAGTTTACAAATGGGTCAGTGACGATAACTTAGTTTCATATAGCATCTTTAACTTGTCAAACACCTAGGGATGTTTTGCTAAGAATTCTATCAACCAAAATTTGTCATCGAGCCATGTTAGGACATTTCAGAGCAAATTACAAAAAGTTTGGTCAAAGAAATGGATTTTGGGGAGCATCTTAAAGGAGTGGAGGTAGGTAGAAAGACAAAGAGATTTAGTGAGGAAATTCCAGCAATTAAAACCAATACAGCTCCGAGCATAGTTGTCAATGGTGTAGCAATTAAAATCAAGAATGTTCAAGATTTTGAAATTGGAAGAGTGCAGAATTCTCAAAAGAATGTAAGGGTGTAGGAGACTACAGAGATAGGGTGGGGTGACACTGTGGGGAAATTTGAATGCAATAAAATGAGCAAGTAGATCTTAAATTAATTTCAAGCCAGTTTTGCCATAAAACAGATTATGGGAGACCATGAACAGACAAATTTATATCTGTTGCAACATCCCACATTGCCACTTATGTCCATCTTGTGTGACATAACCTCATTCCCTAGTGATCATTTTTGGTGTAAGTTTGAGATGTGCTCACCATCCTCCAGCAGTGACAGATGTTCATTTGCATGTACCAGCCATTAAACAAATCTGCATGTACAGCTATAAGCGCAAATTTGTAATGCAAATTCTAATTTGTATTCTATTTAACTCCCAGGTATTAATTTTTGTTTGGCTTGGTAATATTTGATAAGGAAGCCTTGAGTCTAAATTAAGAAGAAGCTGAAGGCTGCTTTGTAGGGTTAGTTGCTTTGTTATGTCCTTTTCTTTGAATCCATCTCTTTTCAGCAAATTGACATCCATCAATTTAGTAAAAACAGTCATGAGGAAATAGACCATTTTATAGTTTTTACCACCAAGCCAGAACAACAATGCTATAGGTCAGCCCACAGCACTGAAAATGCTTCCTACTCTGTGTCATTGTCATAGAGTTATACAGCACGGAAACAGACCCTTCGGTCCAACCAGTCCATGCCGACCATAAACCCAAACTAAACTAGTCCCACCTGCCTGCTCCTGGTTCGTATCCCTCCAAATCTTTCCTATTCAAGTCCTTATCCAAATGTCTTTTAAATATTGTAATTGTACCTGCATCCATCACTTCCTCAGGAAATTCATTCAACACACAAACCACACTCTGTGTCAAAAATTTGCTTCCATTGTCTTTTTAAATCTATCTCCTCTCACCTTAAAAATGTGACCCCTAGTCTTGAAATTCCACAACCTAGGGAAAAGACAACTACCATTAACTCTATTTGTACCCCTTATTATTTTAAAAACTTCTATAAGGTTACCTCTCAACCTCCTATGCTCCAGTGAAAAAAGTTCCAGCCTATCCAGCCTTTCTTTATAACTCAAAGTCCTCTAACACTAAGTTGTGAAACTTTCTCATTGTAGTATTGCGACATTTTCATTCTTAATATCAGTGACTCTTATAAAAATTTAATATGTCCCCGTAACAGAATATCTTTATGAATGGTCCATCATATTATTTTGTTCTACCTTTCAATCATGATGAATACACCAACTGAAAACCCAAGGTATCTTTTTACAAAATGACTTCTCAAACAAAAGAACAGAATATGGAGGTTACATATGCAGGGAGTAGGCCAATAAGCATTCAATTCAATACAGTGTTGCGGGATTTGTGTGTATATATTTGAATGGCAGTTCTTCCTGGGATTGAGATATTTGCATTTGCTTTGAGCTTCTTCTTTTAAAAAATGCATTTCTCCCCTTGTCAGTAAAATTGTGCAATCTATTTGAAACTATCTGAAAAGATAGACTAAAGAGAATCCCTGGAACTCCCTCCCTAACTGCATTATGGTTGTACCTACACAAAATGAATGGCAGGGGTTCATGAAAACAACTGGCCACCACCACCTCAAGTCACTTAGGGATGGGCAATAAATGCTAGCCCAGTTCACAATACCCAGACCCCATAAATGAACAAAACAAATTCAGTGGACAGCAGTAAACCGCTGTGCAATGGTTGCTATTTTGGGATCTTGGCCTGGATTTTAACTGTAGCAGATGCACACTGTGAGAAAGGGTTAAAACAAAATGAGCCACTCTCTCAGATCCAGTTTTTTTACCACCATGTCCCTGATTAACCTCGTTGTAGACGAACAGAAAACACGCATGAAGGAAATTGATCCCTCTTTAAATTTGTACAAGTGAACCCAATGATATCTTCAGAAATATTCATAATTTTAGCTGTAGGCATTAACAGATGCACACCCACTTTCCCATCAGGCCAAACAAGATAGACAGAAGTGCTCTCAATTGTGGCCAGAACTTTGCATCACCGTCTTTCCCTCAACTTCACACCCTTCTCTACATCTCATTTTCTGCTGCAGACTTAGGCTGTGCCCCAGCCTTTAACAACATGGATTATGATGAGATTTGTGGCAGAATCATGCAAGAAGTCCAGTGAGACCTATCTTAACATTGGGAGAAACTCACTGTATCTTTTATGTATCCATTGAGGTGAGGCAAGTTTCTCACTGGGCAGCAACATGTTGCCAATTGAGGATTGTGTTTTGTTGAATGCCTTACTAATGGCACAACTCGCCTCATCAATCGTCAGCTTCTTAGGTTACCAAATGCACTGAAGTCAGGAGAAATGTCTAGCAACTTCAGCTCGCTGTTGGCTGCATAGAATCTCCATGTTAATCAGTACCAAACGGCATCTTGTGGCATCATTCAAGCACAGCAGCAACATACACCCCTCATCCAAGGACATTTACATCCAACGTTTGACAACGTCACACAATCCTCATAGAAGCTGTCCAATCCACTTGCAGCACACATGAGCAACTAGCATTGAAAGGTTGCCGTGAGGACATGTTGTATGCAGAGATCTTGGGTGGGACCAGGTGGCACCTCCAGGGTTGAAGGCTTGCTCTCTTAGCCTTCTATCGCTTAGTGCCCACCTCCTGCTTTCTCACAGTAACCCTGCATTACCTTGCCAAGTCCTGTTAATGTGTTGGCACTTCAGCCAGACCCAAAGGCTTTCAGTGCTGCTGTATTGACATTCTCTTTTGTGCAGGACATAGACAAGGCTGCTTGTCATTAGGACAAGATATGGGGTTTGCAGGGGCGGAGGGTGGGGTACATCTTGCTGTATGATGCACAGCGTCTAACATTTAACAGCTGAATGCACGGCAAACAATTATTCAACCAAATGGCCATGTCAGAAAATGGGTTCAGTCTAGTCCTCGGTTCAGTCAAAGTGGGACAAAGTGGCGATGTTGGCCAGGGGTTCTGGGACTGTCAGTCACAGGCAAAGTCTGCATACAGGCCAGGGATTGGCTGTGGCCAGTCGCCTACTCGAACCAGGCACAGTCAGGGGGTAGTGGGCAATAATCAGTCCTGTATGGTATCTGCATGGAGATTCCATCACAGAAGTGTTTCCACTAGTGGGGGATTCTCAAACTAGGTGACATAGTTACTGAATAAGGAGACGTTCATTTAAAACATAGAAGCAAAGAGATTTCCTCTC